ACCCTTGACCTCCTGGCCTCAAGTGATCCTCCTGCCTCAACCTCCCCAGTAGCTGGGACTACGGCACCACCCTGCCTGGCTATATGTGTGTTCTTTAAATTGTAGAGACGAGGTCTCTATGCTGCCCAGGCTGATCTCAAAATCCTGGCCTCAAGGGTCCTCTTGCCGTGGCCTCCCAAGACACTGAGATTACGGCATGCGCCACCACACCTGGCCTAAATATTTATAATATGTTATATTACTGATATGTATACAGGAAGAGCATGTATATATTTTTAGAAGGAAGTGACAGAGCCGCACAGTGCTCCCCCCGACGTCCCTTTGCCCATGTGGTTCCGTACGGCCCTGGCTTCACATGTGAGGGACACCCCAGGGCTCAGCTCAGCCCCCAGCCATCCCATGGGAATCACAGAAAGGTGTGTGAGGCTGGCTGGGGTCTGGGGGGCCCAGCCCCGTGGCCGCCGCTTGGCCCTGCCTCGCTGCCGATGGATGGGGCTGCGTTGTATGACCTCCCTGGGGCTTCCTGGTCTACTGGCTGCAGGACCCCGACATTGGCTAAGCAGAGCCTTCTGGAAACTGCACGAGGCCCGGCCCGTTCCCCAGAAACCTGACACACACTGGGTTCTAAGTGGCGAGAATGGGGTGGGATCCACATGCCCCAGTTCCAGGAACTCAGGTTTTGGGCGGTCCCGCCCACCGGGCAGACAGTCACATCAACAGCAGAGCTGGGGACCAGCCAGGACAGCCCTGCAGATGGGTGAGAGCCCTGGAGGAGACCGGAGGTCGTGGGGTGCAGGGCTGTGTAGGAACACGCGATCCTCAGCAGACACTCGTCGGACAGCAGGCCCCAGCAGGGAGGCACCCGGCAGCCAGCAGCTCCCCAGAGGCCCTTGTGCCAAGTGAGGACCTGGGGGTGGCGACATCTGCCTTAAGTGAGCTGCGTTGGCTCGGCATCATCTCAGGGCAGAAAGTGGCAGGTTCTAGGTATTTGCTCAGGAGGCAAACCCAGGGAGCTCCTCACGGGGCGTGTCGCCGTCTGAGGTTCCCAAGAAAAACGTCATCGTGCTGACCCTGCTGGTCAGGGGATTGGGCTCCTTGAGGCTGCGTTTGACCTGGGATGCTTGAAACTTCCTGGTGTAGACCCCCAGTCAGCACGGACCGCACGTGAGTTCCGACACGGGGAGGTCTATAGCTATCTGGATGGTGCACCCGAAGGTTCTGGAAGCCTGTACGCGGCAGCTGAGCACCCTGAACCCCAGACCAGCTCAGAGGTCCCTTCCCCGGTCCTTCTCGCCAGTCCGTCATAAGTCAGGAACCCTCGGGGGCGTGAGAGGAGAGATGACCTGGCAGCTTCCACACCTCCCACTGTAGGCATTGGGGCCTGGACGGTCACCGCTGTGGGGAGGTTGGTGGTGTCCCTGGCCACTTCTCCCAGCCCAACCCCAGCCAAGACAACCTTGCCGAATGTCTCACTGTGGCAAAGCTTCCCACTGACTGCCGTCCCGGTTCGCCCAGGACTCGAGGGCTTCCCTGGCATGTGGGACTCTCAGTGCCAAACCTAGACAAATCAACCCCCGGGCTGTGTCATCGACGGGTCCTATTTCACACCAAAGACGAAAAGGAAGAAACCAAACCTGAACTGTCTTTGGGGGCTTCGGCAGGGGCGTCGGGAGCCAGGAAGCGGGGGCGGGCCCATGCCACTGCAGCATTCGTGGGTTCCGTGAAGGCTTTGTGGCAACATCCCTTTCTCCCTCCATGAGTCGGGCCGTTGAGAGGTCTGCTCCTGGTGTGGACCGGAAAGATGGACGCCCACTTGCTGCCTTTCTAGAAGCGAGGCTCTTGTTTGACACCCAGGAGTGAGTCTGAGTGGCAGACTTTTTCCTTAGAGTTGTAGGCTGTGTGACAGTGCACCCTGCAAAAGTGACAGCAGTAGCAAGGACTGATTTCATTTCGTTTTCCTCTGGGGACCCTAATAAGCCACAGCTGCAGGGGAAAATAAATTTTACTTTCTCAAGACAAACGATGTGAATAAAGTGCTCCGGGGAGCAGGGCTGAGAGGGGATCTGGTAGTGGGTTCAACATATGTAAACAGCAGGCTGAGAGATGTGTCCTCCTGTGCCCGGCCCAGCAAGTGCCAGAAGTATCTCTGTGCAGACTCATTGGAAGAGTCACTCACAGTCACGGCCGCCATCCTGGCTTACTGCTCATGCACTCGGGCCACCCATGGGAGAGGTTGTGGACCCTGGGGCTGCCCATCCTGCGTATGCTGGCGCATGAAGCAGTTGAAATAAAGATTCTAGACTCTGAGGCCGGGCGCAGAGGCTTCCACCTGTAATCCCAGCACTTTGGAAGGTTGAGGCTGGAGGACGGCCTAAGCCCAGGAGCTCAAGGCTGTGGTGAGCTGTGATCGTGCCACTGCACTGCAGCCTGAGCAAGAGTGAGTCTCTGACTCAAAAAGGAAAAGGTGTTCTAGAATCTGGAGTCCTGCTGGGCTCGGTGGCTCAGCCTGTCATCCCGCACTTTGGGAGGCCGAGGTGAGTGGATGGCCTGAGCCCACGGGTTCGAGACCCACCCAGGCAACTTGGCGAGACCGCATCTCTACAATAAATCAAAAAATTCGCCGTGCGTGGTAGCGCGCGCCTGTCGTTCCAGTACTTGGAAGGCTGAGGCCGAAGGTTCGCCGGGGCCCAGCAGGTCGAGGCTGCAGTGGCCGTTCCCGGTGACTGAGTGAGACTCCAGTCTGGGTGACTGAGTGAGACTCCAACTCAAAAAAAAAAGAATCTGGAGTCCTGGCAGGCCGTTTACAAGTAGGAGAATCTCGGAATAAATGGAAAATGGCCAGTGTCTTTCGTCTCCCTTCCGAAATGTGAGTGCCACTGAATGTGGTTCTGCTGGGAGGCTTTTCGGTGTTATGGGGCGCACGTGGCCCTGAGGCCTGAGGAGGCTGGCGCCTCTGGGGACGTGCGCTGCCCACGGGGACCCGAGCAGGCTCCCAGCCACGGAGAGGCTGTGCTTTGGGCTCAACAATGACTTATTCACCTTGGGAGAGTCCCCAACCTCACGTCAGTCGTCGTAAGGACAGGAAACCACCCACCTGCCATGGAGGCCGTGCCATTCTCCCCGGCCCACCGGCATGGAGGCCGATGGGAAGGCGCCTGGGGCATGACCCTCCTGCATGCGAACCAGTGCGGCGAGCCAGCATCCCTGAATCGCACTCCATCCAGCTCAGCCACGGCAGGACGCACTGTTAGCTGGAGCCACGGATGCCCTCCAGGGGCAGCCATCCTCCGGGGCAGTGCGTGCGGGTCCGGGAGTGGCCACTGCGGGGGGCCCGTGTCGGAGCCGCGACAAGGCGTCCCGTGTCTATGGGAAGAGTCAGGAATCGCTGTGGGAACAACGGGGCGCAGCTTCCCCTCCCGCTCTGAGAGCAGTCCCTGCCCCTTGCTCACCCCTCAGCAGCTTTGCTTTCCCGGTTCCTCCTGAGTTCAAGGAACAACCCAGAGCTTTGGGCTGGGCCCGGCCGGCCACAGGAATCCATCGCCATCTTCCTGAAGGTGGAGCTTAGAACCGTCGGAAAGAAGAGAAACAGCTTGAGGAGTCAGACCAGATCCCAGCGTCTTACTGTCTCTGGCTGTCTCTCGGATTTCACGCCCAAGAGGGGCTTGGGACGTGTCTTTTGGGTTTGACGTCCCCCTGCCTTCCTGGTCACGTCAGTGTGGCGCTCAGAAATGGCTTCTTGGCATTCCTCACTGCCGGTGCACCCGAGGGGGAGAGAGCTGCACTGTCCCCCTGGGTCTGATCAGGCAGGCATTGGCGTCCGGACGCTTAGTGCGTGACAGGGTAGGACCACATGGCAGCGTCCGGGAGGACAGAAACCCTTGTGTGGCGTGGGAACCACACCATCACAGGCCGTCGCTAAAAGGACAGATTACGTTGCACGTTCAAGTGTAACGTGCGAGGAGTTCTCCGGACTGCACTCTTCTTTCTGGAGGGGTTGCCTCTGAAGAAAAACCAAACAAAATCTCTCTAGGACCTGGCTGATGAGGACCTGGGACTTGTGCCTTCTGAGAACTTGTTTTCCGAGACGTCTGCTGGCCTGGCTGCAAAGGAACGACTGCGGTTTTGTCTGTTTCCTGATGGCCTGCTGCAAGAGATGGCCACAAACTGGGTGGCACAGAACACCAGCGTATCAGCTAGCAGTTCAGCGTCTCAGCTAGCCAGAAGTCCAAAATCAAGATGCTGGCCGTTGGCTCTCCAGGGGCCCAGGCAAGCGTCTGTCCCCTGCTTCCTCCAGCCACCGGTTTCCTGTGCTCGCGGCAGCCTTGTCCTGTCTCCCCTTGTCCTCACTCGCCTTCCCTTCTATGTGACTCCGAGTCTCCATTTTCCCTCTCCCTTCTCCGAGAAGGACGCCAGTCATCAGAGCGAGGGCTTGCCCTAAATCCAGGATGATTCCGTTGTGGACCTTCACCCGATTACTCTGCCAAGACCCTGTTTTCAAATAAGGTCAAGTTCCTAGGAGCCGGGGGCCAGGACATGGGTGTGGCTTAGGGGGCACAGTTCAGCCCACTCCAGCCACCGGGGAGCTCCATCTCACTCCTCTTCATGCCTCCAAGTTCTCTGTCACTTTTCTCATTGTCTGAAGGTCACTCCTACCGGCCGTAAGGCTAAAACCTGTTCCTAGCATTTGCCCATTCCCCCACGTTTGGACCTAAACATTGCGCCAGCCATGCCGGGGGGACCAAGGCGTATCCGGCCATACCCTCCAAATGGGGCACCTTGGGCCCTGGATGCTCGTGTCCCCGCAGAGGCAAACAGGGCAGGCTTGCCTCCTGCAGGTCCCCGCATATGAGAGCACAGATGGTAAAGACCAGGTAGAGCAACCGCAGTAGAGACCAGGCAGAGGGGACGCGGGAAGACATGCTGGGATACCCTGGGAAGAAGCCGCAGTGCCAAGGCTCGGAACACATGCTAATCGACTCGTTTTCTTTCTTTCCTCTCAGCAAACTGCCTAGCTGGGCTAGAGCTGTGGTCCCCAAAATCTTTTATGTTACAGAGAAAGCTTGGAACTACTATCCCTACACAATCACAGGTGAGTCCTTGGTGCGGCCACTGCCCCACTCGGTGGGCACAGGATGTGGCATGGTGGATCCCAACAGGCGGGCCACTGTCGGGGTGGGGCCTGTGGGGGCCGTGGTGCCGCCCCGCCCTTGGCTTTCTTGCCTGGGGTGGTCAGCGCTCTCCCAACGCTGGTGCACCAGGGCAGGTGACAGGGCTTAAGCTACGCAGCCCACTTCCCGCGAGTGACTGTCATAAGCCGTGTGGAGGAGGGGTGAGGTCTCGTGACCGTCTCTTCCCGTTTCCTCCACAAACCCCTCGCACTTTGGGGTGTGGTTTGTCTGGAAACAAGCTGTTTGTCTGACTGGCTTGTTTCACATCCCCCTAACATCGGACTGTAATTTGTGCAAAGATGCTGTTGGGTCTCTCTGCCCAAATGCTCCTTTGCTGTTCGATAACATGCGAATCTTTGCGGTCATGTCCCTGCCTGCACCTCACGCGATGCTAATAATCACCCTCTGTGCTGAATGCTGCACTAGGAACCACGGCCAAAAGCCTGTGGGCATTTGGCGGGCAGGGTTCCCACTCGCAGACGGCAAATTTGAGAGCCCACTCAGCACCACTACCCCACAGGCGCTCCCTACCCGTGACAACAGTTGCTTTTCCACTTAAAAGGTTTCCTTTGTGGCTGATGAGATACTCTAGTGGAATGATTAGTCTTTAATTCTGCTTTTACAATGCTCACTCTTTGGTTTTTAATTAGCCACAAGCCTGTAACCTAATTCCTGTCCTTATCTGCCTAAGCAGAAGTATCAGTGGAGGGAATTTCAAGGCAAATGTGGAGACAGTCGGTACTTACGAAAGTTTAATTTTTGGAAGGCTTCCGTAAGTGCCTTCTTAGTAATTATAGTTCATCAGTATTTGTTAGCTCTCTGGTTTTAGGCTGCATGTGAGCACGTTCTAAGTCATCATTTTGTCTCCTTTTTTCTCTCCTCTTCTTCAAATGAATGTGTGGAGCCAGAATACACGGTAAGTTTCATTTAGTTATTTTTTTCATGTCTGTCTGTGATCCGAGGAGTAATTGGAACGTCCCTTGTATTATTTGTCTTATCAATGTAATCATTTAAAAAGAACAATAATCAGCATCAGGAATATTTAAATAGCCACTGTTACACCGTTATATATAATGCAATAATTGGAATGTTCTCGTCTGTTCAAGCATCTGCATACCAATTTAAAGTGCCATGATAGTCGCTTGACGTAATTAACTTTTGCTTGTAATTTTTAAGCAACTTGACTGCTTTATCGGTGATAGTTCTCTATAACAGAAGAGCAGTTTCCAAGCGTGTGATATTGCAGAGATGATGGTAGTTGTTGGTGGACGTTGGGTAGACACTCAGGCTGGTGCTGGTCGCGGGAGAACCTCGGAACTGGGGAGACGGACGTGCAAACTTACTTAGAGGTCTGGGTCAAACCGCCTCTGCGCCTTGAAATAACTTAATTTCTTCCTATCTGAAACGTCTCCAGGGTTATCACGTCGAGAAAAGAGGACCTGCCTTACCCTTGTGTTGGAGGGTTTCCATTTCTATCATTTTCCTCAGTAGCCGCCAGGTCACGCGATCCCAGAGCTGGATCCACGAGCTGTGATGAGTGAGGTTTTGGTTTCGATCCAAACAGCCGCAGGAAAGAGAGAGGGCGAGAGAACGAGTCATCACGTCCCTGGCACGAGTGCAGCATGCGCCACGGTGCAGATGTCCAGTCACTTATTATCGGATGACGGGACACACACATGAGTGACAGAGAGAGGGAGAGCCCAACTCCACCCGGGAGCCAGGCGGCTGCGTCCTGGCCCTGCACTCACCGGCCCGACTTCCCAGGCAGGCGGCACCCACACCTGTCCTGAACTCAGGCTGCTCCGGCTCCCTTTCACCTGTCCTCTGCAGGATGAAAGAAATAAGAATCGTATTCAGCGTTTTCATAAAAGTAGAGGTATCCATCTAAAGGACAGTTGGCAATTATAGCTCCTCACGCAGGTGTATTAAATTATATCTTCTTTTATGAATAATAGGAATATAATACCATTCCCCCCCCATGCCCCTCACTTTGAAGAAGGCGATTTGTAGTGAAATGCAAATTTAAAATTTCAGAAGCCAAGGGACCACTGCTCTCCAACAAGCCCCTTAGCTTTTCTGAACCTAAGTTTCCCCTTTTCTAAAACTGGAATAATCCCTCCTTCTTGGAACCACTAGTAGAAGGTACAAAAATCTGTAACAGAGGAGCTGGTAGGGGGTCCTATTGGAAATCTTTTCTGCTTTATGGGTCATGCGGTCTCTTTCTCTCCAAAAGCAGCCTTAGATGGTATGTCCACAAATTGGTATGGTCACACTCGCTCAGGCTGCGGGCCAGACCAGCCCCGGCCGGCTTTACAAGCCCCAGATCTAATGTCTGGAAAGTTGCTAGCACACCGACTGCGTACAAGCAGGCCATTGTGCGGTTCCTGCCGCCGCCACCACCCAGCTCCCTTGCTTCTAGTAATTGTGTCGTCACCAAGAGGCCGACTCCAGATAGGCTGAGTCCTGCCTCCAGTACCCACTATGACTGTGCACATCACCTCTGTGTGCGCCTCACTTCCTCGTCTGTGCGTGAGGAAAGTGTAGTGACTATCTCATGAAGGCGACGTGGGGACACTGAGAGTCCAGGGACGTCTCAGCCGCACTCCACACATGGTCACGCGCATGTGCACTCCTGGCCCGTGCAGTGCTGCTGCGGCCGTCAAGTGGTGCAAGCTCTGAACTCAGGCTGCGGGGGCAGGGGGAGTGCACTCCAGTGCCTACCATGCAGGCCAGGCTGTCTAGGTACCACTGTGGTGGAGGGATGTCGGACGTGGTCTCCCTTCCCTGAAGACCGGTGCTGGGTCGTTTTATTTGAACTAGAATCAAGAGTTAGGTGAAGAGAGCACTCTGCTCCGAGGACGGTGTCCGCCCGCCGAGCCCTGGCACCAGGCCACCCCGGTTCCACTCGAAGTGCTCGTGCATTTGCTCTTCGTAAGCTCACAGTGGTGCCATGAAATGCGAGGTCGTAGGCACGTTCACAGAGAACGCAGCTGAACATGTGAACGCGCATGTCCACTTTGAAGAATATCAGTGAAAGCGCTGAGGGTCTGGAAACAGAGCGATAGCTGTGGGGCCTTATCCCACTGGCCCCACGGGGCCACTGTCCCAGGTCTGTCTCCAGGCCAGCCTCCATTCCTGCTGGCCTCCATGTGGGGTGGAGGATCCGTGAGGGATGTGCGGCCTTCACTTCTGCTGAGCCTCTGCCCCGGGCACTCCCGTGAGCCTGAGCACGCAGGACCTCCCTCGAAAGGGGCTTGCCTTGTGTCCTTCGTGCTTGAGAAGGTGTGGAGGCCGCGCACACACCAGGAGGTCATCACAGCCCTCTGCTCAGTGTGAAGCGTCGCCCAGGCCTGTCCAGGCCCTCGCCGTCTTTGCTCCTTTCTGCACATTCTTGCCCAGCCCCACCCATTGCTGTCTTTCAGGGTGGGGTCAGTGGTTGTGTATCAGCCACCAGTGTTGTGCAAGGAGTCATGCTAGATGGCTTCATGGAGCGATCGCCCCGTTGCTGGGGCCGCCGTCTGGTGGGAAGTCGTTGCATATTTCCGTCAAAGCCGAGGTCATCGCAGATCCTGGGCTCTCCGGAGGAAGAAGGGGCTCCGCTGAGGACACGGGCTGGCGTTAGACCCACGCTTGGCTGGACAGGCTGAGCTGCCAGTTGCAACTTGGAGTGGAGGTGGAGTGAGTGGCCAGGGGAATCCAGCTGCCCGGCCACCACGGGATGAGAGGAGGGCTCTCTGGGCTGGGCCCAGGTTTCAGGGACGGGGCCATGGTCCCCGCGGCAGGGACAGGAGAAGCAGGCACAGCCGTCTTGGGCAGGTGGCTTGGCGACGCGGTGCTGGGGGGATAAGGCTGTCAGCTTTAGTGAGTAAAAATGCAGACTGTCCAGGAAAATGTGCATTTTCAAATAAGCAGTAAATAATGTGTGTGCTTGTTTGTTGAGTCAGGGTCTCACTCTGCTGCCCAGCCTGGAGTGCAGTGGCATGATCAGAGCTCACCGCAGCCTCGTTCTCCTCGGCTCAGGTGATCCTCTCCCTTCAGCCTCCCAAGTAGCTGGGACCCCGGGCATGCACCATTACACCCAACTAATTTTTTTTTTTTTTTTGAGGAGACAAGGTCTCGCTATGTTGCCCAGGCTGGTCTCAAACTCCTGGGCACAAGTTACTTGCTCGCCTTGGCCTCCTAGAATGCTGGGATGACAGGTGTTAACCACTGCACTAGGCCTAGTATATAATTTGTAGTGTAAGGATGCCCCAAATGTTGCATGGAACCTGTTATGTTAAAGGTTGTTGTCTCGTATTTTATCTGGCAGCCCTGCGGGGAAGAGGAGAGGGTAGCCTGGTGGACCTGGGCTCAGAGACTCAAGTGCAAAGGTCAGGGTACAGAAACCAAGCCGACAGTGAGTCAGGAGGGGAATGGGCCGGGGCGGACGGCGAGAGCCTGTCCTGCAGTTGACAAACCAGGGCAGTACCAAGGCAGTCACCAAGGCTGGGGCATTGGGACCGACGGGGCAGGGCTGAGGCAGGGAAAATGGAGCAGGGAGCATCCTGACCAGCACAGCAGGAAGACACTTGTTACACGTGAGTGTCATGGTTAGACACACGCGGAAGGTGCAGGGAGGAGAAGGGCTGCTGTGGTTGATGCAGGAGGGCTTCCCGGAGAAGGTGGCACTTGGGCTGGACCTGCAGGGGCAGTAGAACCCCCCGCCCCGCAGACACTGTCCTGGTCAGCTGGGGAGGCCAGAGTTTCCTGGTGAGAGAGCTCGTGCTGGGGCAGGTGGCCGTGTCCTCACCATGTCCGCACATGGCTGGGAGTACAAGTCCTCTGGTCTCTTCCTTAAGGGCAGCAAACCCATCACGAGGACCTGCCCTCCTGACCTCGCGACCCTGACCACTCCCGAAGGCCCCACCTTTGCACACACCAGCCTCGACGTCTGGACCTGGGGGGCCGTCTTAGCCCACGGCAGGCTCACCCCAGGCCCAGGGCACATGACGGAGGAGGGTCCTGGCCTCTGGACACACAGCCGGCAGCGTGGTGCCCCGAAGGTCAGGCCAAGGTCTAGATTCAGTTCTCCGGGGGAAGTCACATTGTTCCCCGGCTAGTTCCTTTTTATTTTCCATCCCAGATTTGGATGACTTTTCTTTCCGTGTCCTTCCCTCTGACTCCCGTGTGCACCCCCGCCCGCAGCATGCTGTTCTCACGCCCGCTGCCCACCTTGTCCTCACCGCAGGCTCTCTTCTAGGTTTTGCGACAGATGCATTCAATTGCTTTTGTTTCCTGTCTTCACTTCTTCCTGATAGGGCCCTTGACCCTTGTGCTTTCATTCTGACGCCTCTTCTCGGTGTCCTTCCTAAGCCCCGCCCTTCCCGTCTGTGTCCCAAGTGAAACTGGTCTGCGCCAGCCTCACCCCTCGGACCCTGTGCCCGGCCCTTCTCCCAGGCAGCCCTCGGGTGCTAAACCCTCCAAGCAGTGCCCCTTCTCAGAAAGCCTCAGCCAGCACCAGGGTATCTGCAGGGCCTTGGAGCTTGTGTCTGACCATCCAGCTGGCTTCGTGGACTGCATGCTTCCCTTGGTCATGGTGAAACTCAGGCACGAGAACTCCCTGCTGGGGTCACCCAGGGCTGCAACCTTATTCCCGTTTTCAAGACATAAAGATTCCTCTGTCACTGTGAGTGACAGTGTGTGCTTAGAATCACATGGAAATACCACTGGCCCAGGAAGTGGGAAACAGCTTGGTTATGGGAAAAAGCTTAATTAAGCAGTAAACAAAGAACAACACAGCAACAGTTCACAGAGGACAGACCATCCAGCCAGCTTCTGAAGTCGGCAAAGCTATAGAGGAAGGTGCCTGGTGACTGGCTCCTTCCAAAGAGCTGATGCTGCTTCTCTAGAGCTGGAGAAGGACTTTCTTCTCGGTTG